AGGGGCTTAAAATTTGCATCAAAAAGTATAAACGTAGGTACCATTCGTTAGGCTCATATTCTGTGATTGATGGTTTTCCCTATTAGGGGAAATTATAGTCGCTTTATTCATAGTCTGGCGGATAGAATCTTGATAACCAATTGAGCTGTCAAATAGCGGAACTAATCGAGCAAATCATGACCAACAACATAAAAGAGCACATCAGCTATTGTAAACAAAATTTCGGAAAACCTTTTCTCGTGACTCAAGGCTCGCCTACGCAAACTAACACCATCTTTGGGTTGGGGAAAGTTTCCCCTATCCGATGATGCCGGCAATTTGCGTTCGATTGGTGAGGAAATAATAATCAACGTTTTGTTTATACATTTGATAGTACCTTTTCAATTGTTGGTCTAAAATATATTTAATTGGTTCCGCTTGTTGATAGCTCGAAATTCTATCCGCCAGACTATGAATATAGCGACTATAAGGGAAATGACTCTAATGTTGGCTTATGGATCTAATATTGGGCCCATCGCTAAAAATCTGCTATTTTAAATTTTATCTAGATGAAAGCGTCATTGGGACGGTACTAATGGATATTTTTGGTCACCATTGAAAATTTAGTCGATTGCTGAATTTATGTATGGGCCCAAACTAGGGGCATTTAGGCCGACATTACAACCATTTCCACTACATATTTCATTTTCGCACCGCTATCATTTCCAAAAGCATAGAGGAAAAATTTCCACAATATTTTTCTTAACTACAAAGAAAAAAATCTGAATTTTACTGGTGATGTAAATATCCATCCACGTAAACTTCCTTTTCATGTAAACCTGCAACTTGCAAGAAATGTTACTTACAAAGGTGGACGATTGCATACATTTTATGGAATATTTCATGATATGTGTCTTGTATGTGTCTAAACTTGTATGATAATATATGACGCTCCATTTATGTGAAATTTACACTACTTTTTCAAACTGTGTAGCTTCCAACCTTCCAACCCATCGGTCCTTTTCAGGACCACAAATTACTAATAAAAGAGTAAACTAAAGAGTAAGAGCTTGAATCCAAGACATATCGTCCAGGATTGGCTTGTTCTACATGGACATCGACAGAGCACCTCACAATCAGAACTCTCAAATTGCTTTCGAATTTCAACTTATCGAAATTTTTCACTGATAACGAGCTAAGAAATCAATTTAATATTTACTATACTTATACTGTGAGATCATAACTATCTTTCGTAATCCTACGTAAAATCTACGGTCTTGTCTTGGATACAACCCTTTTACTTTTTTTTTTTTTTTTTTTCGTTTTTAGTAAGGAGTAAAACAGTTTCAAAACCCTGGCCTGCAGTTTAATAGTGTTGTTATGCATTAAAACAGTTTGTACCCATATGTACTCTCTAGCAGGGTGTGGTACTAACAGGGCTGGTAGCAGGTCACTTTTTAGTGACTTGGTCACTATTTTGAAGCCAGTCACTAAAAAGTCACTTTTTACACCAAAAAGTCACTATTTCCCTAAAAATAGTCACTAAAGTCACTTTTTAACAAACTGTTTAAATTGAGTACTTGGCACTAAGAAAGTCTACAGTAGTTTTAACAAAATATACATATCTGTTAAAAAATTGAAAATTTTAACCAGGGTGACCAGTAGACTGATGCAAATTTTGACATTTTCGCTCCACAGTGCTCAAACAGTTCCAAATCGGGTCCTGATTAGTCTACCAAAATTTGAAATCATTTGAAAAGAAGCTGACTTGGCACAAACCATTTGAAGTTTATATGGAAATTACTATGGGAAATCCAAACTTTTTGTTCATTGTCTTCTTACCTTTTTCCATATGGCACTGTTCAAAAATTCAAAAGCTATACTTATGGAAAATTTTCTCAGCTTCAACTTAGCAGAATATAGTTGTTGAGCCAAACGTCAAATAAAATAGTTATTAATTGTTTAAGAAATTGATAATCTTATGGCATGATCAAGCAGCTGTTTTGTGAGCAACACTGTATCTTGCAGTGTGGCATAGTAGCCATGATTTTTGTGCTCTATTCCAAGCGCCAGAAACACCAATGTTGCCTGCTGAACAGTTGATTGAGCATAATCGTAAGACATTAGTGGCTTGAATTATTGATAACTTTTGATGCTTACATTATATTGAAAAGTGGTTCAGGACAAAGTTGTAGCTGAAAAAATTTTCTACGAGCCATTTTTTAAAGCAGAGCGATATGGTAAAATGTTAGATAGATATGAACAACATATTTGGTTTTCCTATAGTAATTTCCATATAAACTTCAAATGGTTTGTGCCAAGTCAGTTTCTTTTCAAATGAGTTCAAATTTTGGGAGACTAATCAGGACCCGATTTGGACCCGTTTGAGCATTGTGGAGCGAAAATGTCAAAATTTGCATCAGTCTAGTGACCAGTGAACCGCAAAACGTTAGAACACCAGGAAAACTATTGGGAAATGCTTTCAATTTCGATTTAAAAGAGAATTTTAAAGGATTCAATATATATCAGAGATGAATACCAAAGTACAGACTACGAAAGCCTCATGTAAAATTAAGTGTGCTGGGGACCGATTTCTTCATCTGCGCTTAAATTTTAAGCCAGGTTTACCCATATAGTTAAACTTGGCTTAACACATACGAGCGTCGCTTTTGATTATTGTTTAAATTATTAGAGACGCAAAATTCAGCTCCGAAACAATTTTGGAAATAATTCTAATATAATTGAGAGTGCATTTCTGAGAAGAATTCTACACACTTAGAAATAACTAATTTACACGTGACGGAATCCATCTTTGACATAAAAGATGAGACGTAAACAAACATGTAATGTAATATTAAGTGCTCCGAGACTGAAAAGTTCGCTGCTCGACGAAAAGTACGTTTGTTATGACTCAAATTTATGTCAAAATTGACGCTCGTATATGTCACTCTCAGAGCACCTAAATTTACATGAATTTTTCTAAGTGTGTATGATGATTGGATGAGGATTCTAGGTCCAATTCTAATAATAATCCAACATTAGTTCTGAAATTTTGCTTAAGAGGCTCCGATGAAAATTCCATGAAAATCCCGTGAACTCCAAAGATGGTCTCTGCGGATAATTCTAAAAGAATTCTGGGGTGATTTCTGATGATACTTCCAAGAGAATTCTAAAGAGTTCGAAATTTGAGGGTTCAATCTCAAAGGAATTCTGAAAAGAGTTTCAAAGTTTGTGATGGATTTTTGTTTTGAGAATTCTGAGGAAATACTATGGGGATTCTAAGGAGAATACAAATTGAATATCCAATTGAATGTAAGGGAGAAGTCCAAGATTATACTAAGCAGAAATGTATGAAACTTCTGAGGTTAATTGCATGGAAATTCTAAGAATGGATTTATGGAAGGAGTCTTCAGGGAGTTTCTAAAAGAATCAATACAAAATCGAAAATAATCTACTTTAACTAATCATGTGCTTTAACTCTTCATGCGATTTACGTAGTCGGAGATGCATAACGTCAAATATCAGACTTAAATAGTACGGCAGTGTGAAAATTGTTTATACAAAGTAGAAAGCGACCAAAGGACAATTTTGAGGAAGGTACTAATCGGGTAGTTGTTCACGTCAGATGGCGACTTGAGTGTGAATAATCAATAGAACTGTTCCCGCACATCAGAGGTCATCCCTTTTGCCAGTGGTGGCAGGGGAAACACCCCTCACCATCCCTCATTAACGGATGAGCTTGGTGAAGGAGATGCTCTACCCTATTCGTACCTTCCTCAAAATTATCCATATCGCTTTCTACTTTCTATATACAAATTTCACACTGCCACACTATAACGGAACTACCAACTCTTTACTTTCCTCTCCTCATCTATCGTAGATAATGTCCACTTTAGTTCTGGTATTTGATGTTAAGCGTTGCCAACTACGAAAATAATCTATTTCCAAGAATTTTGTTGATTGTTTTGCAAAGAATTTCAAGAATGCAATATTATGTTTATAAAAGCTTATTTGCCTCTAAGTTTAAGAGAAGGGGAATTGTTCTAAAAAAGTTCTTGAGATCATTCTGTGAAAAGTTCATAGCAAATTATCAAAGTTATCTACCTAGATATATAAAATATTTAGAGATTTCGAACACAGAATTAAATTCAAGATCATAAAAAATGGGAATTACTATTTGCTAGTCATCATGTATAACGTAAGCAAAAGTGAATTATTCAAATCACTTCAAATGCTCTTCACATGAGATTCCGTTGTGAGATTCGATTAAACTAGAGGAATTGATGAAATTTGATTTTAAGTTCCATGACTTAAAATGTTTATTTCAATATCAAACCGTATTTGAATTTCTAAGTTTCCATATAAATGGTTACTTATTTAGTAGGTTGGGTTGGTTGTCTTTATTAAGGAGATTTTCAGCCAAAACTTATTAAGTATTTACAAGTCACTATTTGGTCACTATTACCGTAATTTTAGTCACTATAACCACTACTATTATATCGCATCAGCACTACCAGCCCTGTACTAACTACCCAAATAAAGCTGGAGATCAAATTAAATTCAAAGTGGCTTTTTTCATTACTCCAGTTGATCTTGTTTCTCTATGGATAAATGGTTAACACAGCAAAACTTATAGCATAATTTTACACTGTTGATTCAAATGGAAAACTAATCCTGCTTTCAATAAAATCAATATGATTACTGATTTATCTGATTTTTTTTAGTGGAATAGTGAGGGGAAGTACCTCATTTGGCATAATGTGGGGAGTACCTCATTTGAAATACCTGCCGTTTGGCATAATATTCGTGTGTCATATTTTTTGAAGAACCGATAACAATAAAAAATACAGTCATGTTTTTGGTAGAGGCTGTAAAAAGTTTTTTTTTTCGCATTTATGGGAATTATGCCCACGTGAGGTATTCGCGGTAATGGCATTCGACATAATGTCATAAAGTCTTAATAGCAATTATAATATTTATAACATATTTCTAATCATATTTTTTTCTTTACTATATTTTAGTGCAAAAAGTAACGAGCCGTAGACGTCGCATGACAACGCTTCCCCAAAAATCAATCGAAGAATATGTTAATAAGGATGCTCTATGTCTGGAAAACCATCAACGTTTACCTGTGCTGTTTTGTAGTTTCTATTATAATCCCAATGCTCCATCATCGTTTTGTGCCCAACCTTCTTTCTTGAACATGCAATTCTACGGACAAAATGACATCATGCTTGGAGAATTCCTCGAACGGTACTGCTTTCGTAGTTCATATATCTGTAAATCCTGTAATTTGCCTATGCTAGATCATGTTCGACGGTACGTTCATTCGCATGGTAGCGTTCATGTAAAACTCAGCGAAGATTTTAACAAAGTTGACACGGGTACAATATTAATTACCTCAAAGTGTACCATTTGTAACGCAGGAACCAAACCGGCTCCAATGTCCAATGATACATGGTGTTATTCTTTTGCAAAATATTTGGAACAGCGGTTTCACGGCCATTCGTATAAACAGAGAGAAATCGACGATCAAAGCAAATGTGATCACGCACTACATCGGGATCATGTGCAAAAATTTTCCTACATGGGCATTGTTGCCAGTTTCATGTATAGCCCTATTGATGTTTGGGAGATTAGCTTACCTTCAATGATTGTAAAATTAAAAGGCTTAAAGGCATGCAATCCACAGCAAGTAGTGGAAGAAGTAAAAAATTTTGCCATGAAAGGATACGAAGTGTACGCCAAAATTTTTGATAAATTAGCTGAGCTTTCGGCCGACACGGATACCTTTTCTAGACTAAAAAAAATGGCTAATCAAGATCAAATGAATTTCAAGCAACGTGTTGAGGCAGTTCAAACTCGATTGACGGAGAAGATAGTCTCCACGGAAGCAGTCGAGGATGCGATGCTGTTGTTTAAAAAAACACTTGCGGAAACAATAGATGAATGGGAACCAAGGTTACATGATATAACGGTACAAAGTAAATCTAACCCATCTAAATCAGGAGCAGTAAGTATAGACAGTGGTACAATAGTAACAGAAGACCTCGATCTAGCTAAAGAAGATGATAATAACCAACAAGCTCCTGGCAAGTGTGCCGTTGTTCCAGCTAACGCAAGTGATACTACCATAGAAGCATCGTCGCAAGAGTCTATAACGGAATGCACAAAAACAGATGAAAAATTTATAAAAGACGGAGACCGAAAACGTGTTAAAGGTCTTTTAAGTCAATTTCTGTCTCCAGCTGAAAATACACTTATCTTAAATTCTCCTCTACCAAGCAACGAACACCACAGTCTAAGATCTGGGTTGTTTCCCGTTATGGTCAACGATCATGATTTATCATCCTGCATAGCGCATAGCTTGGTTTCTTCGGATTATATGAAAGCTTTGGATAATATATACTCTGGCAATGTGGCCGGACACAGTCCTCATTTAAAGCGCAAATCATTAGAAGTTAAGTAAGTAGTAAAAGTCGTAATATAAAAACTGCAAACTAATGTTACTTGTATGTTTTCAGTTCAAATCTTGAATCTGATGATTCGGTGCAGTCCAAAACAGATAATGCTGAGAGCAGAAAAAGTAAAAATACTTCTCATGTCGATGTTCATTTCCAGGTAAACATAAATAGAAAAGTCGTTATGCGTAAATTAAATGTTGCCACTATATAGATATACTTTTTGAAAAACAGGACACAACTTGTAACTTTACATGCAAGGTTTACTATGCGAAAGAGTTTGACAATCTGCGATGTAATTTGCTTGAGGCGCCTAATGCTACGTCGGACAGCAAGAATCCAAAACTAAAATGCAAAATTCCAACCGATACCAGAACGCTCGAGGATGAAGCTAATCTAATTCGGAAAATGTTTGCCCGGTCGCTTTGTCAAAGTGTAGTATGGGAAGCCCGTGGTGGTAAAAGTGGTTCAAAATTTAGTAAAACTATTGACGATCGGTTCGTCTTGAAAGAAATGTCAAACAAAGATATCTCGATTTTTGAAGATTTTGCTCCAAACTACTTCGAATATCTCTCCCAATGCTTAGGCAAGGAACAACCCACTTTATTGGCAAAGATTTTCGGAGTTTTCAAGGTTACCATAAGGAAAAAAGAGTAAGTAATAGGTGTGCTAACACATACATTTTTATATGTAATATTTTGCTTGTTGCTTCTCGGATGGGCGTTGCGATGCCACATCTACGGAATTTGTGCTAAAACAACCCTCTTTTTTGAACCCCTACAAGTAAACCGATTTTCTAAACTGTCCTTTTTCAAAAATTAACTATTTTTTGCATCAATTTTGTTATAACGAAATATTTAATTTGATGTTGCATTCTGCCGTTGCATACGCATAACTGACCCATATTCAGCAGTATTGATAATAAAAGAGGGTGTCCACTTGTTCGTGTACAAATTTCCGTATATCTGATATCGATGGTTGTTTGTCCACTAGACTGATGCAAAATTTGACATTTTCGCTCCACAGTGGTCAAGCGGTTCCAAATCGGGTATAGATTAGCCTCCCAAGGTTTAAACTGATTTGGTAAAAAACTGACTGGGCACAAACCATTTGAAATTTATATAGGAATCACTATGGGGAAACAAAACTTTTTCTTCGTAGTCTTCTATCCTTCTTCCATATTGCACCGTTAAAATATTCTATAGCTATTCTTATGGAAAATTTTCTCAGCTACAACTTTGCGGAATCTTGTTTTACAGCCTAACACCAAATTAAATAGTTATTAATTATTTAAGAGATTGATACTCTTATGGCATGATCAAGCAACTGTTTGGTGGGAAACACTGTATTCTGCAGTGTGACATAGTAGCCATGATGTTTTAGCTCTATTATACGCGCCAGAAACACCAATGTTGCCATAGTGACTTGAATCATTAATAACTTTTGATCCTTACATTTTATCGAAAAATGGTCATCAACAAAGTTGTAGCTGTAAAAATTTCCTACAAGTACAGTTATCAATTTTTAGAGCAGAGTAATAGCATAGAGGTAACTCTAAGACTAGTAGGTCCCGAAGAAATGTGCTCAACTTTTTGACTCAGCTCTAGTTATTCGGTCTCAAGGTAATCGATGCATAGGAAAATCCACGAATCGCTCATTTTATCTGTCAAACTTTCATAGATAATCAAAACAAACATTGCGTAGTACTAGAATTTCAACTAGAATGGGGTACGTTAATCGATTTTGCTTGGGACGAATAGGCTAGTGAAGTAGTGAGCCAATTTCAAATCGATAGTTTCGTCACAGACAAACAGACATAACACATTGAATATTTCTCACTTTAAAACATCGTCGCTAAAACATTACCGCCATCTGTTGAATACACAGTGGTAGGTAGTACGCTGAACAGATGGCAATAGTGTGTAAACGTCAAACGCAAGGGAATTGACTATGCGCGCCACAGGTGGCGGTACTACCAACTACGATACTTTTAAATCGACCGTTAAATGCTTGTTCGATGAACAACATGCGAGTGTTATGTCTGTTTGTCTGTGGTTTCGTATTGATTGTTGGTAATAGGGTGAATTATTAGGTAGATATGAACACAAATTTTGGTTTTCCCATAGTAATTTCCTATATAAACTTCAAATGGTTTGTGTCAAGTCAGCTTATTACTAAATGAGTTCAAATTTTGGAACGCTAATCAGGAACCAAATAAGAAACGTTTGAACACTGTGGAACAAAAATTTCAAATTTTGCATCAGTCTATTGTCCACTCTGGTCTGTCGGCTTTTTGAATAATTCGTTTGTCAAACCATGGTCTGCCGTCATCAATAGCTACTTTAATTATTATCATTTACCGCGTTACCGCAACGTAATGCCGCTGTAATCTACCATATTTTGCGCATTTCGCAAATTTTAATTCTTATAATTTAACCCGTTCCTTCTCAGAAGCTTTTTAAAGTTTAAATAAGCAGGGGTAGACAGGGCAAGATCGCCACCCGGGCCAAGATGAGCGCTCTTCAAGTTTACATCACAAATCTTATATTTTTGGAAACTGCACATACATACCTTTCTACAATGACCCAATGACCCAATGATTTATGAAAAGGTTCCGACCGAAAAAAAAAAATACTCTCTTTGTTATAAGAATTTGCAATAATCAATAACCTTTTTTTTTCGTTAAGTATGTTACAACTTTTACTGTATTAACTGTACTGTACTGTACTTTTAACTGACTGTATTAATTGCAATTATTAAATATAAACTTTAGGGTGGCCATCTTTCCCCGTCTACCCATATTGACTATTTAATGGTAGATTGACAATCATGTCATGGTTCAAAAAGTTGTAAATCACCTGTGCTATCATGGGAAGGCGAGAGTTAATCACAAAACCTCAATATGTTACTAAAATAGATTAATATTTGGTGTATGTTGCGTATTAACATTAACATCTAATCTAATCTAATCTAGCAACAACACAGCCAGTTCTTGAAAGTGTCCTGGAAAATGATGGATTTACCTACATCATTTTTCTTGTCTATTTGATATATTTCGCAACAAAGATGCGTCACACATATTAAAACGGCCAGGCCTACTGTGCAGCTAATTCAGAAAACATCGGGCGGGACGTTCCAATTTTGGGTTTTTTTTACTCTTTATTTGTTCCACATTCAAAATAAATTACATTTCATTTTAACCTAGGTGCTCCAGTTACTACAGTAACTTACCAGTCTTAATTGTTATGATATATATCTATGTGTTTTTGTTTTTACATTGTTCCTGCCTTGGCAATTCAGTATTTTAAACAGGTGTTTTAAACCTGCATGTCAGTATAACAATTAAAATCTTAAAACTAAAAACTAAAACTAAATCTTATCTAGGTATAAAGGGAATTAATAAACGATTTTTGCCTGAAATTATTTTGTTGGACATTTGTTTTAAAGTCTCAACATTCGAAATTCTATGTACTTCGTTAGTACTGTACCAGGGAGGCAACTTCAAAATCATCGTCAGAACTTTGTTCTGAATCCTTTGAAGTGCTTTTTTGCTGGTAGTGCAACAACTAGACCATATTGGCACTGCGTAAAGCATGGCCGGTCTAAAAACTTGTTTATATATTAGAAGTTTATTCGTCAGGCAAAGTTTGGATTTCCTGTTTATAAGAGGATACAAACATTATATATAGTTGTTACATTTGGCTTGAATGCCCTCAATGTGATCTTTAAAAGTTAATTTTTGGTCAAGTATTAATCCAAGATATTTCACTTGGTTTGACCAGGAAATTGGAACTCCGTACATAGTGACTATGTGACTACTACTAGGTTTCAAACAGAAAGCTCTAGGCTTATGTGGAAATATTATAAGTTGAGTTTTGGGAGCGTTGGGAGAAATCTTCCATTTTTTGTAAATAAGAAGAGAAAATATCTAAACTTTCCTGCAGTCTGCTGCAAATAACACGAAGACTTCTTCCTTTAGCGGAAATGCCTGTGTCATCAGCGAACAAAGATTTGTGGCAACCCTGAGGCAAATCAGGGAGGTCTGAAGTGAAAATGTTATACAATATAGGCCCAAGAATGCTACCCTGAGGAACTCCTGCTCTAACAGGTAGTAGATTAGATTTGGAATTTTGATAATTTACCTGCAGAGTTCTGTCAGTTAAATAACTTTGAACTAATTTCATAATATAAAGTGGAAAATTAAACTTTTTCAATTTAGCAATCAAACCTTCATGCCAAACACTGTCGAATGCTTTTTCTATGTCTAGAAGAGCTACTCCAGTTGAGTGGCCTTCAGATTTGTTTGAACGAATTAAATTGGTAACTAAGAGTTGGTAAGAGTTGATGAGCAGTTGAATGCCCATGACGAAATCCAAACTGCTCATCTGCAAAAATTGAGTTCGTATTGAGATTCGGATTCGGATCAAGAGTTTGCCCCTTTCTTTTGCGTTTAGGCGCCATGGCGGCAGTAAATTTTTATCCAAATCGACTTCCAAGCAGATTATTATAAGAATCTGAAGGATCGAAGAGGAATTTTCCAAATCGATATCCAAGAAGGATTACCACGGGTAGGGTTAAAACAAGGATCGAAGAGGAATAAGAGTTGATCAAGGTAGAAATTTTACAGGTAGAGCACTGAAAAGTGCTGTTTACATTTGTTGTAGCTTTAGGTAGTAGTAACACAGCAAAAAGCAAATAGATCCGCACGGCAAGAGAGCACGGTGCGGACTGATTTCCAATTTTAGTAATTATATGATTGGTTGATCGTTGGAAGCATCAAAGCTAGAAAGGATAAGTGATGCTCCAGTTTCTTCTGACGGTTGGGACATGAGCACTAACTCTTGCCCTAGCCTTTTATGACTTATGGCTTTCGCTTAATTACTTGTGTTCCTTCTGAACTGGTTTTGTCAAGCAAAGTGGACTGTACTGGGTGGGAGCGAACGGAGTTGACTAGCGTCAATCGAAGTTCTAAACTCAGGAGCTCTGAAAAGAGCTGAGGGGGTTTGACGCTGCTCTCCGGGACACCAATGGACATGTAGTAGAAATGACGAATGCTGCCGACCACACTAGACACTACTGTTTATTTCTCTTTGTTTCTCGATAGAAGGTTAAAGCTGCTGCTGCTGCGAACGGATGCTCGGTTGGATTCAAACTTAACTTAAGCACGCTACCGCGGGGATTTTTATAGAACGGCACCGACCGTTTACTCGTTGCTGATTGGTCGACGTTTTCTCCTCTCTTTCGGCGGTAGGCGGAAACTACTGAACTGATCGGCGTAAAAATTTGTATGCAGGGGTTTTTGGGGCCGGAAATGGTTCTTATGATGGTTCGAGACCCCTCCCCCCTCTGTAAGGAGGGCGCTCCCATACAGATGAAACAAAAATATCGCTATAGCTTTTTTTAATCGGTGCATAAACTCAAGCTAATATTTAATTACAAGCAAGGCAGGGCACACTCAGCTAGTACTATATAAAAATACATAACGGCGGTGGTTACTACCCGTATCTTGTAACTTTTATCAAGGTATAAAAGTAACACGGATTAAAATGTGATCATTTGATTACTGGAAAATCCTGATTCTCTAGTTTTGATTTGTCAGGACTAGGGTAGAGCTTAAACCAGTAATACACCAGGAAAAGGTGATCTACCAACG